TGCTCTGATGCCCCTCATGCCAGCATGTCTTCTGCTGTGGGTTTGCTGGGTTCTGAACTAGGGCTGGTTTGGGGATTGTCCCTCCACAGGCTGGAGGAGACAGCATGGGGTAGGGTAAGGTCAGCTTAACATTTTCAGATTCTCTTTACTCATGTGGGTTTGTTTGCTTGTTTATTAATAAAAATGTAGGTGTTTTAGGAGTCAGTGACAGCCAGTCATGAAAAGGGCAACAAGGAATAATATGTTCATCATCTCTTGACATCCCTCTTGTCACACTTAGAGAAATACACCTATTCACAGGATTTGAAACACTGAGTAAATGTAATGTCCCCAGTATAACAAACTGCTATCTGTTTCTTAAGAATTGACTTTATCTTTATGTGATTTCTTATTAAGCCATGAGATGTCTACTGGAGTGTAAAACAAAATGTTTCCTCTGCAGAGTTTCTGCTGACATACAGGGAAAATCTATACAAGGACAGTACTGACTGTATTTTCAGCAGACTTACCAATTACTTACTTATTGATTATGCATGCCTTTTGGTAGGAAATAATCAATAACAGGAAATATTTCAGGTTAAGTTCCATTTATGCCCTGTCCCAGCTGCACTGAACAAACTCATTTACTAGGTGGAGGATATAAGCACTTGACCTGATTATGTAGATTTTAGGCATTTTCTTGTATTTTAAAATGAAATTTTCACAGAAGGGACAGAAAAGACACTCAGTATCTGGAATGAAGGCAAATCTTTTTCAGTTTTACTTTAACATGTAAATAAAGATATAAAATTGTAGGAATATAGAAAACAGATGACAAAACTCTTGATTAAGAGTTCTCTCAGCTTTCAAATGTTGTTCCATGAAAAAAATCTCTTCTGTCGTCTAGTATTTAATTTTCTTTTTGAAGAACTGAATATATTCCAGGCTCAGAAATCTCATGAGTCAATTTATTTTCCATACTTTTTATTCATTAAAACATGTTATTTACATACATCAAAAGGTAGAAAATTACAAAAAGTCTGATCACGTATAATATTCTAGAAGCTTTATCATACTATTTTCTTTGAAGAAAAATTAATTTTACATGATATTGCTTGGATTTTACTTACTTGTAAATTGTTCTGCTTATTCATCTTCCTACTGTAAGATTTACTCAGTCTTGTATTTGAGCACCTGCTTATCTTTGAAGTTTTCTTGTCCTATGTTGAGTATCCCTGCAGTCTTCTACATTGCAGGGGAGATCATAGTCTTGTTACACCAACTGACCCTGCTGCAAGTCAGGCACACACAGTTATGGTATTGCAGCAGCAAATTTAAGAGAATCATCCAGACCAGGAATTAAGAAAACAGCAGCAGCGCAGTGTTTTCTTTAGAGTTCAGCTGCTACGTATGCTCCACCTTACAGGACTGGAGATCAAAACGAAGCTCTTTGGAACAGAACCTTTCTTTTCCACCTTACTGTCTGCATGTGTGTACAAGTATGTGCATGTGTACAAGTATGTGTGTGAGCCCATCTCCAGTATTTGACAGGATTCCTAAGCCCCGTATCAGGGGTAGGTGGGTGCCAACAAAAAGCCGTAGAGCAACTGGTGCAGCAGCAGGATGTGATGGAACTCCTGGGGCCGTCCCAAAACCCTCCCCAGGCCAAGGGAAGGCAGGACCCAGCATGAGCTGCATTTTGCTGAGTGCTGCTGGAGTTAATGGTGGGAAGGGAAGAAGTTCTCGAGTGCATTTCTCCAACTGAAGTGTAAAATGGTATTGATTTGGGCTTTTTATAGACTTGAAACCATCTTTTCTCTACACAGTTTCATTTTAGAATAATTCATTTGGTTCGTATTACAGAGCTGTACTGCAGGAGTGGTGTTCTGATATTTGATACTTCATAAACTGTTATGGAGTAAGAAGACGTTGCTAAAACTCATATTCTATATTCAGTTACAGCTAAGCAAAAGACTTGTAAATTCAATTCCTGGTTTACTTATAAATTATAAGAAATCTGGAAATAACTTCTTTGCCTTCCCTTCTGATGCTGGCTATGCTAATGTTATTAGCAATGTGGGAGTACATGTAGGAAAGAACAGACCCTGGAGACTTCTAACTAATTAGGAGTTCGCTGGTTGGCATAAGTAATGAATCATGAGTGAGGTGATAGATGAATTAGTTTGATTTTTAACCCACAAAGAGCAGCATAGCTTTGTGTTAACTAGAGAATAGAGACTGACCTTGCATTAGTCAGGGAATAGTACGTACAGATGCGGTTGCTTGTTGGATTGGAAATGGAGTCCCAGGGTGGTTCTGATATTGGCTATTTCCATAACTCCAGTGGGATTAGTCTGTAATAATAATGTTGAAGCAATGCAGATGAGTAAACGTAATATATAGCTTTATGAGAAAAGTAATCATGGGCCATTTGAGAAAACAAAGATGAAAAACAGAGACTGGGTATCAAGTGGGCCTGGTTCAGAGCACTTCCAGGGATAACAGTCTCTTATAAGCAAAACCAACTTAGGTAGTTTAATTTTTTCCTGCTATGATTATGTATAAGAAAAGCTACAGTCTCTCAGAGAGTCAAAACTAATGAAACTGTTGCATACTCCTAGATGACCTTATCTGTCAGTTAGCAATGAGCATTACACACCACCACTCCCTTACAGTGTTGGTGCATCTTTCTCTCCTGCCTACCAAGAAAGGGTGTTTACAGGTCCCTGTTCTGTTGGCAATGGTATACAGAAGCTTGTCAGAATAGGTGGTAAGAGGGAGCAATCCTGGTCATTACTTTCCATGCCAGTAGTTGCAGGGAACTGTGTAATCACTAGCTAGCTTAAAATCACTGCATGGATCATCTGTTCCATGTCTCACTTCAGGCAGCAGAGTATTTCCCAGCATTGGATTACAAACCCAGAACCTATAGAAAAGGTCAAAACACATGGCAGTATTATACTATGGCAAAAGATTGGGTATGTGCAGTGCAGTGTTGATATCCTGTATACGCATTCTGGCAAATTATTTGTTAAAAAGCCAATCTTAGATGATCCTGAGAACCAGACTGTGCTACTGAGAACTACAAAGGAAGGCTTCAGTTTGGGAGGTGGGGGGGAGAGGAGAATTCCTCTTTTGATTCCATATCTCATGATCAAGTAAACCCTGACATGCTGGCCAAGCACCTGAGGTTGCATCATGGGTGCAAATGTACAATATTTTTGGTTGCAGTAAGTACCATGACTAGCTCTTGTAATCATTATGAATACTTGCAGGTTTTTATAAAACCGAAAGCAGCATTTTGGTCCATAGCATCTCCTACAGCTATGCAACATGTCTACATGTTCAGATGCAGGAAATCACATCTGTTCTTTCTGAACTGTCAAAAAGGCCAGATGTGAAGAAATATTGTGGAAGCTCAGTAGCTTCCAAATTATGCCAAATGCTGGTTTGGTATCAGCCAAGTTGGAGAATGTACCAGGTAGCTGTGCTACTGTTTGCTACTGGCTGGGTTGACATGTTTTGAACAGTCTCGCAGTCTCTTGTAATCTTACCTTTTTATAAATACACCTTCCACTTTTTAAATACTCATTTCAGCAATCCATACTGCTGACTGAATACACTGCAGAATTTTGTCTTAGTAGAAGCTTTGTAAGCATACGAGAGAATTCTTCCCCAGGCACATAAGTCATGCTGTATAATGGTAAAAATGTGAATAACTGAAGTGAGGTCATCGTCAGCTTGAATGGGAAGAAGAGCCTGTCAGCCACTTAGAAAGGAGCAGGAGCATTGTATGGGATGATGCTGTCTGCAAAAGATTCATCAGTTAACCCTATGTGAACCAGGGTTTACAGGATACTTCACCAGGGCTGGAGGCTCTTCTGATTGTTCTCCTCTGCCTGCCACCATTACCTCTGTGTTGCTCAGGCTTAGCAGTTCTCATTCATGGCAGTTGTTCTTCGTCCTGAGGTCAAGATGTGTAAGGTCATCTTCTCAGTCATATGGAAATGACCAGAGATGGATGATGCTTCCCAGGATGTCATCATTTTCTGGGTAGATATTTAGGACTTGATGAATTTTTCCAGAATATCTCAGCAGCTGCTGGTTTTAATTGGTATCCTCTGACTGGAAACACTGGACATGAGGTATAATTGCCTCATGGCTTTCCAGACAGTTGCAGCCTTGCTAGAACTGTGCGTATGTAGATTGCTTTGTCCAGCCTTGTGCAATAAGGACATCTCTTTTTGAGAGCTCGAGGCTTTCCATTGCAGTTGACCTGCATTTGTTGAGGTCTGTGAGATTAGCTTGGCATTTTCCAAGAATGCCAAATGGGAAAACTGCAGGAGAGGGTGTTCCGGACAGCATGTGAAGGAAATTCTATATGTGCACCTATAACTATGAAAGCCCTTCACTTACTTTATACCTGTTCTGCAGAGGTTTCACAGAGTTACAGTGGAGATCTATTTGTGTACGAATAAGGAGTAAAGCTATTAAGATTCGATACATTCAATCTCCATCTGTATTCTTGATACATACAATTGATTTGATTAACACTGACATCTACTAGTGGCCTCAAAGGGAGTCTGGATCTAAAATTTTCTAGTATAGTTATATCATCGTGTCTTTTACCCTTCTATGTACTTAATCAGTTGAAGTACTTTATAAAATATAGAGTTCAGAGGGAGAAAGCAGAAAATGAGAAAAGATAGCTTTTTAAAAATTTTAACAACTGCCTTTTGTTGTAAGTGTTGCTGGACTTTGTATTTATTTGTTCTGTACAGTATGCTAGCACACTGGTGTCATTTTTAATAACCTTTTACAGAACATATGTCTCAGATTTATCTATATGCAGAGCCTTGCAGGCAGAACTTATGGATTGTAACATAGAGAATCTCCAGATGTACACATTATTTCTTATTAACATACATGATGATTTTCTTGGGAAGTAGATGACATTTTAGAAAGGCAACATCTGTGTTATCACTTAAATTTTAATAATGCCAATAATTTTCTTTCAACAGAGGAATTCAAGGGCTCAACAATAGTTGAATTAATGAAAAAAGAAGGCACAACCCTAGGGCTTACAGTATCAGGTGGAATCGACAAGGATGGGAAACCAAGAGTATCTAACCTTCGTCAAGGAGGAATCGCTGCTAGGTAACCACATCTCAAGCCGCAAAATGCATTATAAGATGTGATTGCTTCAGAAATACATACCGCATCAGAAAGGTCACAAACAAATATATGACTAGATGCATCTATAATGGCAGCCCATCAGACCAGAGAAGCTCAGAGAGAAACGGCAACAGCTGGTCCCCCTCTTCCCTCAAGGCTACTTTGACAAAAACTAGAAATACCAATGAGATATTTGAAAATTGTCATAAGACTAATTAAATTTCTTCTGAATTCTATACATTCTATTTCTCTATATTTTGTCCTTGGACAAAAACTTGAGAAGCATAAAATACTGATGGGAAAAAATAAAATAGAAAAACTAACCATAGTACTACCATAATTTAATTTTTTAAAAAACTATTCATCAGCTGATTTTAAGATTAAAAAAAGTCTAAAGTCATAGCTACCTTGCTTCCTACTACAGTGGAAACAAAAAAGCTGTTACTCATTAATTAAACAAGTCAAAAGATAAAGGTTAAGCTATATCATTTGAAGTAACTGAGGAGCATGTATGCTGTGGGCTGTGGCCCGTCGCTTCTAACTGTGATGTTAGCTGCGAAGGCAACTGTTGTCCAAAAAAATAGTTTTGGACACTTCCCAAGAAGGAGGAGAAAGGTGGGGACATGAAGAAAACAATTTCCCAGATCCTATGCACAAACCAGTCAAATCATCCAACTCCTTTAGTGTACAGCTGGTTTTGTACATCAGAAATTAATGAAGCAACAGTGTTCTTTTAATGTTTAACAAGCTAGACTAGATTAAGATCTTAAAATGTCGCTTTCTGTTTGAAAGATTAACTTGTTTTAATCTAGATGAATGGAAAAAATATTTCTTACCCTCACTATACAGTAATTTAAAGGATTCAGTCAGTTAGATCTGTCCTTAACAAAAGGAATATGTACTATTTCCTAGGAGTGACCAGCTGGATGTAGGTGACTACATCAAATCTGTGAATGGAATCAACCTGACCAAATTTCGTCATGATGAGATCATCAGCCTGCTCAAGAACGTTGGCGAGAGGGTTGTTTTAGAAGTGGAATATGAACTGCCTCCAGTCTGTAAGTAATAGCAGAGCAAACTGAAACCTATGCAGAATAGCAGACGTTGTCATCAGTGAGATGGGCATGTTTGGTGATCCTCATTTTTGAAGGTGGTTGTTTTCTTTTTTTTTTTTTTCCACTGGCTTATCACAGAGCATGGTAGCAATATTTAAGAACTGGCAGTACAGGGGGATGCTCTCAGAGATGCTCAGGTGTTTTAGGAGCATGAATCCAGCCAATGGCAGAGCAGAGCTGTCAACCTCCACTGTTTATTTGTTTGTTTGTTTACCATTTTGAATACTGGGAATTAAATTAAATAGATTCCAAGGCAAGAGAATCCTTCTTGTTATAGCAAGATCTTCTGAGATGAGACCAATGAATATCTGCAAGTTCTGCCTCTGCCTTTTCCTTTCTTCTCTCCACTTTCAGCAGCCTCCCGCTCTGACAGATAAACAACATACTTTGGGACTTTTCCAGTCTTTTCTAACATCATTTTGAGGCAACATCTCATTTCTAGAGCAGAAGACCCAGTGGGATAGGCTGTAGAGATACATAAACCTGTGAGAAATGTGTGACTGAAACAAGGGCTTCTCACTGAGCAGGATCATCTCCAAAATACTAGCTTATGCAGACACCAAAGTCAGAGAGCTAATGAATATCTTCCTCACCTCTCCTTTGCTCTTTCTTTTTGCACTTACATCTCTGACTATGTGTCCATAGGAGAAAATCAGTGGGAATGAAAGCTATCAGGTATGGAGTGAAAGATAGATTAATGGTGAATTAAAAACCTGGGACCTAAAGTGAAGGAGTGAGTGGCAGGTGGCTACCTGGCACCAAGTGAGTTGCACCAGCCACACCTTTAAAAGAGTGTGCTGCTCCCTGGAGGCGAAAAAATATGGTTTGCTGGGGTTTAGCCAAAAAAACCTGCAGAGTCAGTTAGAAAGCTCTTGTCTCCTTAAATAAAGACTTTCATCGCAATAGAAGCCAAAAAATCCATCATTCTCTTTGGTGTTCAGAAGAGTATGAACTCCCCACTGCTTTCTAGCAGCTGGAGAGTTAGTCTGATTGCATATTTTGTTGCTTTTATGACCTCCTGACAACCACGTTAATATGTTTTAAATGTTCTCTCTTGATTAGTGTTCACTTGTGGGAAGGGAATTTCATGTTCAAAAACAAAGTATTTGAGTTAATGAAATCAGCTGAGTTCAGAATTATTTTGCTGGAGATGTAGTTGTTTTATAAGTGTTGTTTTGTACTTATTCAAGTAGGCTTCATTCCATTTCACCGGCTTTTGGCATATGTGCCACTCTTGTCCACTGAAACAGGATTTTGGTGTGCTAAATTACAGTAGCAGTGGTTACTTGTTCTTTAAATTCTTGGAATTTCTGACCCCTTCATACAAGCATAGCTAATAAAGTTGGAGATAATTAGCAGCCTAGTTGTTCCCATTAACTTCTAGTGAACATGCTAGACACAGTGCCTTCATTATACGCTGTTTTCCAGTAGGTCTCATGGTGAAGTCCTGGTACCTCCTTCCCTGCCCCATACATAATGAAATTCTACTCTTGTTCTCATGGTTGCTCCCTCAGAGAGAGGACTGTCATGATTTCAGAGTGAGGAAATGTCAGTACTTCAATAATGATGGATTAAATCTGGCTGAGCACCAGTAATCCTGCTCTCCCTAGTGCTTCCTTCCCTGTCTGACGGTGTTTACAGCAGGAGCATCCAGCTGCCATTTTCAGCATGAGCCACCTCAACATGTTAAACTGGAACATGAGCCCTGCCTGCCTTGCATCCGCCATTTGTTGTTGCTAAAGGTGAAGGACTTCTTTCCCCTCCCGGGCTGAGGCTGGGGTGGCAGGACAGCACCTCAATGGTTGTTGCTGAAGTGGAAAAATGCTGCGTGCCATTCCTTGCTGCTCAACTACAAGTTTTGCCTGTCCCCAGTGAAGGTTACAGGCCACACCAAGCAGATTAGGAAGCGTGGATTCAGCTTGAGCTACATGCAGGGCCTCTTTCTGTTGATAAGAAAGAAGGCAAGAGTCGTCTTCTCCTCCCCATAACTCAGCCCTTTTCGGTCAGTAAAACATTTCTAGCTGAAAAGGAAACAACTGCTTGGAATTCGGTAACACGGTCCTGCTCTTTAAGCTGTAGTAGGAATTACTGCAGTGCTTTGGAGGGCCATCTTTCATCTGTTTTCCTAAGGAAATGAGATTTCTGCGATTTCACTGGGTGGTTCTCCTGGTTCCCTGCAGTAACTTTTTTAAAAGGGATTGAAAGGCTCCATAAAAAGTGCATTACAGTAAGTTTCATGGAAATAGACACCTGAGCGAATCCCCAAGCAGGGGGAGTCCTCAGAGAGAGAGAGACGTGCAGTACTGAGGGGTCACCATTTCTTCCTGGGGCCTTCCGTGGCCGGCAGCACGTGCCTCCCCCGCTGCGTAGCCTGTGGTGTCCACTGCCCCCCGGATATCCCAACAGGGAGTGGGGGGGCTCTGGTTATTGGAGGCAGGAGCATTAAAGGACATGTTTTCTTTAGTTCTGCTGCTCACAGAACATTTATTTCATAGAGCTGGGTTTTTTTAATCATTACGTGTGCTGTGCTGTATGTAGGATTTTACAGGAAGCTGGGAAGTGTGTGTGCATGTGATTTTGCCCAGTGTCCTTTTCTCTTTGGAAAAGGGAATTCTTACACGCTGCCAAAGTTTTTCCTGTAAAAGCTAATAGTAAACTGGCCACTGGTCTCTTAACAGCAGTGGTTTCAAATTCTGTAAAGTGGATTATCACACCCAAATGTGTTGGTCTGTGCATTAGGCTTCTCACCTCCTAACCCAGCTGTGCACCACACCTCTAGTGCTTACAGAGAAAATACTGACTCAGCTAGAAGTCAGTGTTTTTTTAACTGATTTACCAGTGATGAGGGAGCATGTTGCATTTTGAAGAAGGAAAAAAAATAAATCCTTAAGATGCAAAATATTTTTTTCGTTTTAGTCTAGTAATCTGAGATTAGAGGTACACCCTAAAAACCTTGACTCTTGACTTTAAGCAATACAGATAAATGTTTTAATGGCTGACCAACCAACTTCATAGGTAGCATTAAGAATTTCATTTGTCATTCTTGTGTCTCACTGTCTCACTTTCCATCTTTTCTAGCTTTCTTCTGTAACTATACAAAAAAAGCAAAATTATGCCACAATTTAAACAGTAAGGCTCAAATTCCTCATCTGTTATATGCATCTGTGACTCTTTTTCCAAACCATTGGCAATCTGCAAAATATCTTGCTCAAAATTCTCTCAAAAAGAGGATGAGTTGTATTTAATTACATGTCTTTAATCTAACTGTTCTGTAGTGGAGTCTTTCCAATTGTATGATCAGAAACACTATAGCTATCTTAAATTGGAAAATGTGCAAATAAAAATAATAATAATTCAGTTTTGTATGTTTTTCTTTTCTTTTTTTTTTTCCCTTTTAGCTGTACAAGGATCAGGTCTCATCTTTAGAACTGTGGAAGTTACGTTACATAAAGAGGGGAACACTTTTGGATTTGTAATAAGAGGTGAGTAATCATTAAATTTGAACTGTCTGTATTTTCTAAATCGGAAAAAAAAGTGATAAGTTTTTATGGCACTAAGGAATCATTTCAAAATTTATGGTTTACAGTTTGTAAAAATCTCTGTGATTTACGTATTACTTTTTTCATACGTACATGTACTGCTTTTATGAACTGCTCTAATTTTTGTTTATGGAAGAACAGTAATTAATCAACTATACCAAGAACATGACAATCTTCATTTCACATAGGACCAGATTCTGCTACCACTGAAATCAGCAGGAGGATTGTAGTTCTTAAAAAAGATTCACGTATCGTATTTGTATAAATTAGGTATGAAATCTGATTAATCATGCTGATAGTCTGAATTTTACAACAAAAATATTACTGTTGACTTAGAGAACGGAAGAAAACATGCAGCTGTTAAATAATATAGCCCAGTGATGAATTATTAGTTTCTTCAGGGAAAACTTTTTATCTAATGTATAAATTCCTTAGTGACCACTCATTTTTCTGAGTAAACATGAAGTACGGATGTTTTTTTTCTCCATGCAGCAAACATTGCAGAACAGTAAGTTTTCACACTGAGATCAGATTTGCAGAGTAGAGGTTCTAAGAAAAGAATATACATTTCTTAAGATTTACTCTGTATAAATATTTTATAAACAATCATCTATACCATACAGTAGATGAATTTTAGTTAAGATAAATTCAGTGGAGGTTCATATTAATGGCTTGGCTATTTTGATCTTTTTTATTCTAGTTGTAAGTGTGCATGCTGCAAGATGTAAGCTTGCCTTTTGGAAATCAGCTTTCATAAAAAGCATAAAATGAAGGAGTGCTTTCTCTCACTTTCCCCATTCTAGGTGGAGCACATGATGACAGAAATAAATCTCGTCCTGTTGTAATAACATGTGTTAGACCTGGAGGGCCTGCTGACAGGTACAATTCATCTTTCTCTGGAGTGCATGTGAAAGAGAAATGGAGAAAGGTGAATTATTTGGGATGGAAGTTAGGATTTGGAGTGAAGTAGATATATTCAAACCTGTTCCTTTGAAATTCATGGTTTCCACATTTAATTTTAACAATAGCAGTAATAGGCAACCACAGAGGCTCCTCACATCATGGTCTGTGTGAACTTTAATTTACTATGTTGCATGTTTCATGACTTTCCCATTAAACACTTTCAAAAATCAACCTCAAATAATTAGAACAAATGCCTGTAATAGATCAGAGCACATTTTTTTTTCAGCCTTCAGACAACTGGTGTAGCTCTTAATTGTTATTTTTATCCTCTTAACACCACAATCTTTTTCTCTACAGAAAAATACTGTCATGTATTTGGGTGGTGTTGTATTATTCTTTTAAGATGTTTGTACGTATCTGAATATGAATTCACACATAACTTCACCTGGACAGCTTCTGAGTACAGATTTATGGTTTTGCCCAATGAACATGTTTGTATGTAATACCATCTTGTATCTATATAAAGAAAGAATATTCACTTTATTTATACGTATGAGTTATATTTTAAAAAATGGTATTTCTGTCCTTAAACCATTAAAGAAACTTAAAGGGCAATTTCTTTAAAGCAGACTGATTTTCTGTAGCCTGTGTTGACTTTTTTGACCTTGGAAGCATTAGCTGAGAAGCAAACATTTCAAGAAAGCGTTTGTCTTTTGTCCTTCCCTTTCTTCCCACCCTCAACCCCCTTGCTTCATTGTTTTTCTCCCCAGTTCTTGAGCTGACAATGTTAGTAATTAATTTTCTATTATAATTCTGAATATGTTGTGAGATACGCCTAGGAGACAGTGTACATATCTAGCCAACTTATTTGTAGGTAGGAAGGAAATAAAAAATTGAATTATCTAAGTACAGAATATTTTTGAAGAAAATCAGTAAATGGACATTCATATTTTGCAATCTGTTTCTGCATCCATGTGTTTGCACCTCATATCGGGGGAGGAGGTGTTTATGTATGTATAAAAGAGAGTTGTGTGGACAAGGCAGAAAGAAAGCATATGTTGAAGCAGAAGCTATACTTAGTTGCAATTTAATATGACTTGATTATTTAGCTATGTGTTAAGCCATTTTCCAGTCGCTGACTTTTCAATTAAAGCAATTTCCTTTCCACTGTGCCCTCTGTTCTCACCGTCAGAGTAAATGTTAAGTGTTAAGGCAAGAAGGATGGATGTCAGAGAGGGTGTGAGAGAATCACTTTGCACAAAAATGGTATTATCTCCAAATCAATTTATCTTGTATTAATAAAGATCATTCCTTTAATCTCCCTTCAGAGAGGGCACAATCAAACCTGGGGACAGGCTGCTGAGTGTTGATGGGATCCGACTGCTCGGAACAACACATGCCGAAGCCATGAGCATTCTCAAACAGTGTGGACAGGAGGCAACTCTGCTGGTTGAATACGATGTCTCAGTGATGGGTAGGTTGAGAAGCGAGGCTTTAGTTCTGGGAGCCATCTGTGATGTTTTGCTGCCTATTCTTGATGAGCTATTTTAGAAGTGATCGTGACCTGTTACGCTTCTAGTAGCACTGCTATTCCCTTCTGCATCGTATCATTAATCTTGGGTTCATAAGGAGGTGAGCAGTATTTTACTGTAATTTAGCATTCTGACATTTCATGGTTTGTAGAGTGAAACCACAGTGTGGATTCTAGCAAAGTTACTTTTCCAGTGACTAGTTTATAATAAAGGTTAATGAAGTGTAAGCATTTCTATGTCACATGAAAGAGGGGTTTACTTGCTCTTACGGGAATTCTCTTGCCTTTTGCCAGTGCTGCTAGGTGGCCAAGGCATTATTAAAAAGTCACAAAACTTCCACATAGAAATGAACAGGGAAGAGAAAATTTGTTAAATTAAGAGGTGGCAAATCATGACTTGAAAATGAACTTAGGCTTTTTACAAACTTTCATTGAATTCACTGAAGGTACAGGAGGTGTTCTGGAAAGTCAAGGAGAGCAGATGATTTTTCACAACAGATTTGGGATTGAGTTACTTCCATTTGTTTTGGAAAGAGTCATATCCCCTCCATTTTTGCAGGATACAGAAAATTAATGGCAGCAAGAAATAGAAATACTCACCAGTCAGACTAAAATATTTCTCTGTTTGGGGATCTTTCTCTTTTCCACAGTTCCACAGTGAGATTTCTAACCTAGCAGTAAAGCAGCCTCATAGGAATTTGTGAAATAGCACCGTCAACTTCAAAGCTATGGAAAAGATTAATACTTAGAAGAATAATGTCAGATATTTGATGATTCTGGAACAGCCCTCTTTGTTCTTCTCTAACACACAGTTGGTTTTTTTTATTTTATGTATTTTTATATATATATCTATATATATACGCAAAAATATGTATTTGTTTACTTACTTATCAAGAATGGAGTGACAGGTTTGCATGGTGTCTGTCAGGCCTGCTGGACAGTTGTGCAAGGTTCACATCCAGAAAAGTGGAAACAGTTCAGCACCTGGGCAGGAACCTCCCGTGTAGAAAATGAAAAGATGGGTGATCTTGTAACCTGAAGAGAACTAGAATTTAGGTGTTTTCATTTATTTCTTGTTTTTCTTTGGAAGATGATGGATGACCAAACCCTATCTGTCATCACAGCTAAAGCCAGATTCTTTATACTCTCTCTCTGAAAGCAAGATCTCATTGGAGAAAGAACCTTTGGCTTTAGAGAGATGAAGTTCCCAGTGAGGATTTAATTTCAGAGAAAACTCCTGTCCCCGTTCTTCTTTATACTTCAGAGAGGGAATCTGCCTTAGTTTCACTGAGGATCTGTTAGAAATATTTGCAGGTTTGTGTGAGGACAAGACCACATGATGAAAAGCTCTGTTGTGCTCTAAATTGTAGGTTGTTCAAGGCAGGAACCTTCTTTTCAGTGTAAGCTGGGTAGAGCTCAGTGCAGGAGGATACAGAACTTAGTCGAAAATTGCAGGCTCATAACTGTGCAGGCAGGACCTACCAGTTGGTCTTTTCATGTCACTGTCTCTCTGAATAAACTCTGCTATGTCCTTTTGTTCCCATTAACAAATCTGAGTTTATTGTTCCTACCTTCCTGGCAATTAATGTGTTATCCTATGGAAACTTAGGGAGGTAGAAGAACCTGAAATGTGTGGAGTGAGAAAGAAGGAAGGAAAAGGGAGTCAAGCCCTGGAAAATGTATGGGATGGTGTCTGCAGCGTCTGTGAGAAGAAATAAGGAGGGATCCAGTAGGCTCTCTTTCTAATGCTTTATGGTTTTGTTAGATTTTATCTAGCCCCCTGTAGGTTTAGATTTTTTCCAATTTGCATGCCCTGCACAGTTTTCCAACAGGGGTGTGAAAAACTTTGTTGGAAAGCTTTCTTTGCTTTTTGCAGTTATGTTATGACCATGCTGCAAAGGCTGAAAATCACTCATCTTAATCCATTGATTCCTGATCCAGGAAAAGAGTGCTGATTTGAATCTTCACTTACTTCTGCTCAAGAGCAGTGAAGTAAAAGGTGGAGGCGACATGAAAGAGAGAATATGAGCCATGAAGAGAAATTTAAGAATTACAGAAATGTTACTTTATTCCTGACTCTTACGTTACCCACAAGACAAGGTATTTGTAATGCCACCTCAGGGTTGATGTGAATATGAAAATAGTCTACAGCAAGAGGAGCAGTATTGGGTAAGGTAGTTTATCAATAACTGATGCTTGAAACTAGTTTAGTAGTTTAGCCTGCTGAGAGAGGGCAACAGTCCAAAAGCTATATATATGTCTGGTGCATTCTTTAGGGTCCTTCCGGTATAAACTTTCAGTAGAATGTCTCACTCCTAGAGATGTAATTATACCATTACTTGCTTTAATATCTTCCCTTCTGTTAGCAGATGGTTATATCCTATAAAGTAGCATTCCACGTGGCCAGAACTGGAAAGAGCCATAAAATATATTCTGATAGCATGAAATTGGAACTTGATTTGAAAAGGTTGCACTAGATGAAGAAAAGAATCCTGAACTATTTTTCAGCTACAGTCCTGTAGTGTGTAACTTACTTTTTATACTCCTGTAAGCATAAGCTGTTTCAAAGGTGCTGTATTTCTGAAAGTTTAGTTCCTTCACCTGAAGTCTTCAGGAGGTCACATGGGAATCCTATACATTTTATTGTTTCTGGAACCTAGACAATCTGGAGTAAAAAAAAGCATCAAGGGGTGCTGGGCAAGGGTAACTAAGTGTGTATATAATGTAGAAGATGTGGCTAGTCCCATAGTTCATAAATTGCTACTGCTGAGTTTTTGAGCAATCTAATTTTAAATCTTGGATGTTCTTGCTGGGGTAATCTTTGATTCAAGGATACTGTAGTTAAACAAAACTATTAGTTATTGTCGGGACTTTGGCACAAAAGTAAGCTTTTGTTAGCTGTTTGTACCTAAGAAACATGACATCTTTCTCACTCATCTCTTCACTGGGTGTTTCTTAGTTCAAACCACTCTGTGGTCTTCAGGAATGAAGGAACATACCGCACATTCAGATTCCATATGTTTCTCTGGCTTCTTTAACAGTTCTGGCACTTATTTGAGCCAAAATAGATTTTTTGGAATGTGGCACCCTGTAATTGTTCTCTGCAAAACAGATACGGTCAGCTTGGTTTTCAGTCCCAAGCTACCAGCATCACCCTGACATAGAACTGGTCAACTTCAGCTAGAGCAACACCAGTTTTCTGAACTTGATGTTTACCACTGATACAACTTCAAGAAAGGGAATTATTCATGCAATCATTTCCTAGTAAATCTGACAGTGGTTTAACAAACATTGTCAAAAAAAAAAAAAAAAAAAAAAAAACCAAAACGAACCAAACAAATAACAGAAGGCAGTAACATTTTTCTGAAAGTACATTTAAAGAAATCTGCCTCACCCCTCAGTATTTCTGCCAGACAAAAAGAGCACTAGGGAGAGAAAGCTTGCATAGTTTAAACATCAGGTGAGGTAATCTGATCCGGTGTAGACTTTCAGTAATTTGTGCAAGACAAGAAATATAGGAGAAAAAAGAACTTACAAGCTGTCCCTTAAGTTTCATAAAGCAGTATCACTCAAATGTATCCAGAGCTGTGGAGACAGACCTTTAAAAGCTATAGAGTTTTACAAGACCAAGGAACAGGAGCTCCAGAGGCTCCAAGGGCAGACTCAAGATCCTCATAAATCTTATAAATGTTGCAAGACTTTGAAAGTTGAAGGAAAGTCAGGAAGCCTGTAGGATTCCACACTGCCTTTTTCTTTCTGTTTCTTTATAAACTTAAAATTAACATTTCCTTTGTCTCTTACAAGTCTTTGACAGAACAGAAAGGTAGCGTGCTCTAGCATTTGACTGCAACTGCAGGTCTCCTGGCTGTCACAGCAACACCTAGATCCCTTGAAATTCTAAATATGAATTAGTTACTTAAACATTTGAAGAATGCTTCCTCTCTTATGTTGCTTCAGAGACAGATTGAATGAAAATTCATGTGCAAAGCAAAGGTCACAATAGCTAAAGTATTACTCTACTTTAAATATTGCTATACTAATACATACACAAATTATGCTAGAACACAATGTTTGAGGTCAAGAAGTTGAGTGTGCCAGTTAGTAAATGTCAGGATTGAGATTGTCTGCTCAGCCTCTGCCCAGCTAGGTGTGCATGCAATAGAGTCGCAAGACCCACAGGAGAGATAATAAACTTTCTATGCAGCTATTAATTTTGAATTTTCCTTCTGTCTTCGGTATGTGACCACAGGCTTATCAAAGGGACTGCCCAGATCTTTGTGGGAATGCAAAGTTATTAATTTCCTGGTGGTTTTTTCCTGAGGCCCTGATCCTGCCACAGTTTGAGTGCTTCAGGCAATATTCAGATCTCAAGGAGTCCCAAGGTCATTCCAAATGTATTGGCTCTTTCTTGAGGCAGAAGATGACATAGACGTATCTCTCTCTAACAGTTCCAGAAATACCCATTCGCAGATGTGTCACTAGGTAAAACACGTGTGATTTTTTTTCTCTGCTGGAGGCCAATGCACGATTCATGTTCACACTGCGCAAACTAAGCAGTTATTTAAATCTACATGCTATGGCACATTAGTCTTTCATCTTACTGTACAAGTTCCTTGTTTATCGAGCATACTATTTGTGCTTTCTGCTGTCAGTGCCAGATGCCTGCATCAGGGACAGGAGTATGAACTGACAGTCAGTCATGGATGTATGCAATAAGTAAGTTCTCTCTCCATAGTGCTAGCTTGTTGAATTTTATCTAGCGAAAGATACATGTTTGGGGATATGACTTATCCTTGGCACCAAAAGAGGCTTTTTCTTTCAGAGAAGACTGACACCTGTGATCTTTTCTGTTATCAAGTTTTCTGGCTTTCAGGACTGCTTTTCTACAAAGTGGGGATTATTCCTTTTAACCCTTCATCCCTCGTGCTGCTACAAAATATGGT